TACAGCCGCGCGGCTACACTGTTTAAAATACATTCGAATAGTATAGCCGCTCTACTGTTTAAAAATATATTCTAATATTTAAATGGTATAGCCGATCGGCTATACCGTTTAAAATATATTCGAATATCTGACTAGTATAGCCGAGCGGGTATACGCTTTAAATAGTATAGTCGCCCGGCTATACCGTTTAAAATATATTCTAATATTTTAATATTATAGCCGTAGTAAAGCCGAACGGCTATACCGTTTAAAATATATTCGAATATTATACTAGCTGCCATCGCCTCTCACTCTGTTCTGCAACTCCTGTCTCTCCAGTCCAGTAACGTCAAGATACTCACCTCAGTCTCTACCCAAAATCCGCAGACGGTGTTTCACTCCACACAAATCACCAAAAAGGCCAAGTCTGCAACTTTACAGACTCTATTCTATTTCATGAGCTAGAAATCAATTGCATAAAATATATGAGAGGGAAAGGTACCGTTTCGAGGTTCCAGGAGAGGAGAGCGGATCTAAAGCCTGTGGATTTGAATCTTCTTCTTCTGGGTTCGCGGGTGTTTACTGCACTAATGGGTTTTCAGGAACAGGGATAGATCAGTTCAACAACATCTATCAGTTTCTCCTCTTGGCACCACCAGTCTCGAAGACAAAGATCACAGTGCTTCCATATGCATATAGATTCCAATAATTTCATAATTCAACCGGCATTGGTAGACAAATATGGTGGATATAAAACTAGAACAAAAGAAAAAAAACCTTGATTTTAATCGTATAGCCGCGCGGCAATACTTGTTCAAATATAATAGATTGTTTTAATAGTATAGCCGACCGGCTATACTATTTAAATATATTCTAATATTTAAATATATGGCCGAACGGCTATACGTTTTAAAATATATTCGAATATTTGACTAGTATAGCCGCGCGGCTATACGTGTCAAATATATTATAATATTTAAACAGTACAGCTGTTTAAAATATATTTGAATATTTAAATAATATAGCCGCCCGGCTATACGCTTAAAATATATTATAATACTTAAAAAGTATAGCCGCCCGGCTATACGTTTTAAAATTCGGCTAAATATTAGAATATATTTAAATAGTTTTTAAAATATATTCGAATTTTTAAATTGCAAACACTTCTTGAAAACACTTCTTGTTGACAATTCTTTGCCTTGAATCTGGCTGCAGTCGACTCCTCCAATTGTCTGTGTCCATTGCGGGCTCTCCATCTCCAAAAGGGCTCATTGGGGGCTCTCCATCTGCAGAAGGGCTGTCATCATCATCATCATCATCAGTGTACATCTCGTCTGTGTCAACTGAGGGTTCTCTTGAACCACCTTGAGGAGGCCGAGGCGTCTCATTATCAGTATCCATCAGTTTCTAACCAACAAAACACACCCTCAAACAAACAAAAACAAAACTTGAACTCCAAAAGATCGGAACCAGAAATTATCAGTACCCTGCTCCTATATACTAAAGGGTAGGGTCTAAAACCAGGAACAAATCAACCTAACAATTAGATAATGGATTCCGATCTTTAGTATATAGGAGCAGGGTACTGATAATTTCTGGTTTCCGATCTTTTGCAGTTCAAGTTTTGTATTTTGTTTTGTTTGAGGGTGGCTTAATTATAGCTTTATTGTATTGTAATTACAGCATTTAGGTTTGATATAATTACTGCACTACCGTTGTAAAACCATTTACCTACCTCCTATGCCTGTATATAAGGCCTGTACCCGTGAATTGCATATATGAAAAAGTATCTTTTCTACAGACACAAACAAGATGTACGCTGATGATAATGAGAGCCCTTCTGAAGATGAAGATGGAGAGCCCTCAATGAGCCCTTCAGGAGATGGAGATCCCTCAATAGGAACACATGGTCTGTGTTTCAGCTTTCTTTGTATTTTGGATAGCAATGTAGTCAAAGTTTAGCATGGGTTTCTTTTTACAGTCGGATTACCTACGGAAGATTAGTCTGAAGATGCTAACAACGGAGACCAAGTCTCAGAACACAACGGCCAATTCTTTACTGTCCAACTCTGATGGTAATAGGATACTACTGCCATTGTCTCCCTGCTTGCGCGACGTATAGGGATTGTGATATTTGTGTTTTATATGGAAAGCTGCAGGTTTGACAAAACAAAAATAGGGCGTTTTCCTGTGTTGTGTAGCTTCGTTGTTGTTGCTTAATTGCCTGAAAATGGTCTACTATTTCCTCCCCACAGGTCTTATCTGAAGAGACTCATTTCTGATATCTACGTTGGCGGTTAATTTTGTGATGATTGAATGAGTGTCAAATTTTGTGATCATTTTGAAATTTCCCTGTTGGTTGTTGCTTTTCTTTTTTACGTACATTGATTTGAGACATATAATGGAGGTGACATTTTGAGCATTGTTTGGTGATTAGATGATCACGGTGATTTCACATGAGGGCAAGCAAATAGAATTGGAAACAATAATCCCACAAGAATAAGGAAATTGTAAGAAAAGAGAAAAGCGCATACTTAGCCTAATTTACTAGCTTTTTCACTTACGTATCTAAAATAGGTGTGTAGTGTAGGGTAGAATACCATGATTCCCATTCAGGTTTAGACTTTAGAATCATAATTGAACAGCCTTTGCCTTTGATTTGATCTCCCTTTTAACTATTGCGGCCTTGTTTTCTGCATGTGATTGTTACCAAAACAACAATGCTAATAACTTTATTTGCTACAAAGTCTTGTTACCTTTTATATTATTGTTGTTTTGCTTACTCGTGTCTGTTGCTCTTTTTGTTTCTCAGCACCCACTCCTCAAACCAGAGCAGCTTCAGAGGCTTAAAATGTTCATGACCATGTTGGAGCGCCTCATATCAGTCTTAGAGATTTCCAAAAGTTGCATTTCAGCAGCAGAACAATATGTCAAGCTTGCTACAAAAAATCTCATCCAGTAACGGTTTGACTGTCCAAAGCCCATTGTTTGAAGCCCCCCTTGTACCTTCCACAAGCACCTTTGAGTCCGTCTCTAGGATAATTTTTCTATACCCTCGATTGATTGCATACTTGATAGCGCATAGACCTGCAGCTGCCTCAGCGACCAAGGCTGCACTACAATGGAAAGGCGTTGCCAGCCCCCGACTAAACAAGCCTTCCTCATTTCTAACTGTTGAGATTTCAATAACAGAGCTTAGTTTTGGGGAAGAAGAAGAATATGAAACGTTGCAGAGAAGAATAGAGATTGAGAGAGAGAGAGAGAGAGAGAGAGTTTGTTACTGAGCACTGATCATAGCAATGCACACACTCCCACACTGATTCATTCCAAAGGAAAGATCCTATTACATAATACAAGGAAAAGGAATGAAATCCAGCCTTACAATAGTGTCAGCAATATGAGCTAGTCACTTGGCACAAAACTAAGACATATGAGTCCTACAATATATGATTGAATCTAAGCCCTACACTTGTCTAGCTAAAGATTTAACCAGTAAATTAATAATTTACATTTCAACATGACTATCATTTTCTCACCCAGAGGGGCAGATTCATGTCATATCTGCAAATTTAGAGTAATGTGAAAGCAAAATCCGAAAACACTTATCTACATACAAACCGAGCAGGCCAATGATCAATGTAATCTGTCTGCAATCGCCTTAAGCTG